AGATATGCTGTGAAAGATACGCTGTATTAGATATCTCTATTTCTTTGATCACTTTTACAAATATATCTTTTAAATAACTTAGCAATAGAGTTGCTGGACTAAAGATTATTTGTATTTAAAGATTTGATATGACCAGTTTTCCTCCAAAAAGATTATATCATTGGAATGGAACTTTCTGTCAAAATTGCCTGAAAATGGAATGGGAATGTTTTGGGGCAAAGATGGCAAATTGAACACACATTTCTAGTTTTTTCTTCCTTCCCAAACCACTAAAACTAAAATAAAGTACTTTTTATGTGTTTTTAAGGTACAGACCAACAAACATGAGGGAATTAGAGAAGGAGTCCAAACGAAAGTATCCTAAAGGTGGAAAGCATGTGGAAAAGTGGTAACCAACTTAGCAGACCTGGCAAGGGTGAATCCTAGGCTGGTAGATCTAAATTTAGATGAACTTTCTAAATTTCAGAATTCCCCAAAGACTTTGGAATTGGCATCAGGTATGTATGGACCTCGGAGAAGGCAAGGGCATCCCACTCCAGTACTCTTGCCTGGAAAATCCCATGGTTGGTGGAGCCTGGTAGGCTGCAGTCCATGGGGTCGCTAGGAGTCGGACACAATTGAGTGACTTCACTTTCACTTTTCACTTTCATGCCTTGGAGAAGGAAATGGCAACCCACTCCAGTGTTCTTGCCTGGAGAATCCGAGGGGCAGGGGAGCCTGGTGGGCTGCAGCAGCAGCATGTATGGACCTAGAGTGAATGGGGAAGCATACAATTAGCTGACTGATGCTGTGAGGTAGTTAAGAGTCCTGGACCCTTCTAACAATTCAATGATGCTAGATCCCATTTCCACTCCAATTTCAACAGGAGCCTGAAGTCTATTTTTTCCCTCTGCAGATGATAAAACAGTCTTTGAACTGAGGACTCAAGCATAGTTGAGGGCAATGGCAGAGATAGTGTCCCAAAACACCCCTCAGATCTTAGAATTTTATCAGCTAGGACTCTTAACTTTCAAACAGAAATATAGAAAAGTATGCTCTAGCATATCTGGTCAACTCAAGAAGAAATACTTGATGTTTCTGATGTTTAATAAAAACCCAGATAGACTAAAGTGAAACCAAAATTGGACAAAGCTCATTCAAAGTCCAGAGCTTCCAGTCAGTTTTTAAATTCCAATTTGATATAAGCAGACAATCAAGGAATACCAGACTTCAGAGAACAGCCTCAAATGAGAGATAGAGACCAAAAAGTCAAACAAACAACTGGAAACAGCTAATTCATAGAGGAAAAAAAGAGATTATGCAAGAAAAAACTTCAAGGTTAAAATATTAACCAGAAAATAAAAATAGGATGCTAGAAAGAGCAAATTATAGAACACAAAAAGCTCTTAGAAACTGATAAAATAACATGAAAATGAATATTTCAGTAGAAGGGTTGGAGGAAAATGTTGAGAAAACATCTCAGAAATTAGAATACAAAGAAATGAGATAGAAAACAAGGGAGAAAAGTAAAGATAAAATAATTAGAGGATAAATCCAGGAAGTGCAGTTTCTGAATGAGTGGCCAAAAGAGGGAACAGAACAAACCAAGGAGAGGAAAAAAATATATTTCCCAGAACTGAAAGGCATGAGTTTCCTGACTGAAATTATCTATTGAGTGCCCAACACAGTGCAAGAAAACAGACCCACACCCAAGGCACAGCATTGTGAAACTTCTCAGTGTCCATCACTCAAGACAAGGAGACAATTTTAAGAGCTTCAAGGGAGACTAAACGAGTCATATACAAAGAACAGCTATCAGAATGACTCTAGGTTTCTCCGTAGCAACGCTAGTATACAGTTTAGAATCAGGTGTGAGATATAATCAGGATACATTCAGTCTTGAAAACACGCAAGAGTTTTACCTCCCACACACCTTTCTCAAGAAGCGACTGTGGAGTGAGCCCCTCGGAAACAGCGGAGAAAACCAGACAAGAGAGAGACGGACATACAGGAGACAGGAGGGAGATGAGGGGCTCTCCAGGTGATGGGAAAGGACGCTCTCAGGTGCCAGGTGTGCAACTACGTATGTGAGTGTCTTGAGAGGAGATTTAGACATGTGACAGAAAATTGAGGGCTTGAATTACAGATAAATACAGAAGAAATTAAGCAAAGACAAAAGGTGAGTCTTTTTATTCATTCCAGAGGAATGAGTGAAATATAAAGATGTATAAGAAAGGAAAAATAATCATAGCTTAAATCCTGACTCAACTCTGAATAATATTTAGTTATAGTAAAATGTGTTAGTCACTCAATTGTGCCCAACTCTTTGTGACCCCATGGACTGCAGCCCACCAGGCTCCTCTGTCCATGGGATTTTCCAGGCAAGGATGCCATTTATTTCCTTCTCCAGGAGATCTTCCTGACAGAGGGATTGAACCCTGGTCTCCTGCATTGCAGGCAGATTCTTTATGACTGAGATACCAGGGAAGAACTAGTTATAGTAATGTAAGCACTACATGCTGATCTAACCACAATCACCACCATATTGGGGACTTCCCTGGTGGTCCAGTGATTAAGAATCTGCCTGCCAATGCAGAGGGCACAGTTTGGATTCCTGATGCAGGAAGATTCCACATGCCATGGGGCAACTAAGGCCCTGCACCCCAACTACTGGGCCCATGCTCTAGAGACTGCATGCTGCAACGAGAGAGGCCACCCCAGTGAGAAGCCTGCACACATCAACTTGAGAGTAGGCCCCCAAATTTTATAAAAGAATTACCTTAAAAAATTGAAAGTGGATATCTTTAGTGAGGAGTTCCTGTTTTTCCTTAGCAAATCTTGTTGAACTCCTTAAATTGTGTGCATGTATAACTTTGATTAAAAATTTTTTTTTGATGTGTTTGCCTCTGGTGTGTTATTTCTGATTTAGAGTACTTCTTAGGAGGATGATGTAAGGATGATCCAAACATCTTGAGATTGACTGGATGAAATTTCTTTAGATTTGCTTCCAGACCTGGAGTTTGATGAACTAATGATTTTCTAATGGGACCAGCTGTTTTCCAGAGTAGTGGATTTCCCATTGAACTGCAGAAAAGTTCTTCCTTAAACTGAAATATAGTTTGTATAATCTCTACTGTCAGATATAGTTTTACTACTTGGGGCACAAAGAACAAATCCCATCCCTTTTCTTTACCAGCCCCTTTGAAACATGATTAAACTATCATCATTGACAAACTATCCCTATTTCCCACACCTACTTGCATGCTTTTGGGTCTTCTCACATTCTTTTCAACTTCCTGTGATTACATTCTACCTCTAAAGATAGGGTGTGTGAGTGTGCGTGTATGTGTGTGTGTTTAAGAACAGAATATTCCCGTTGTGGCTTGTTTGTTATAAAAATTTTCAACACTATACTGACCACAAAACACCTCCTCCTTGGATGTAAAGATTAGTGGTTAATAGTAGACCTCACCTATAAAATGGGGACAATGTCAGCATCTTCCTCATGTGAAAATTAAACAACATAATATATGGCCAGCACTTAGAACAAAGACTGGCACAAAGTAGGTGTTCAATGAACATTAGCTGTTAACTTTCCCCCAGAATTGTTTTATTAATGTAGCCCAAGACACCCATTAACACAGTAATCAATCAAACAACAAATATTTACTGAGTTCCTACTCTGTGCTAGATGCTGGTAATGAGGAGAATGAGACCATCCTCTTATCTGGAGGAGTCAGTAGTCCCTCACCAAGTTGATTTATTATATTAACTAAGAACTAAAATCCTTTATGTTTGTTTTCTTTTTTCGTTTTGAAAAAAGTGTACTTAAATTTTTTTAATCAAAGTTATATATGCCTATATAAAAAGTTAAATAGAATTGAAAAATTTATAACAAAACAGTGGTTCCCTGCATCAGTCTTCACACTCCTCCAGGGCCCCTTTCCAGAGGCAACCACTTGTCATTTTTTTAGCCATTTCTTCTGGAATACACATCTTGGTGCTTCCAAATAATAGCCTGAATTATACTGTCTTAAATTGTGACTTTTAGACATTTTCTGTCACCTATTGTGGTAAGAGTTGGATAAGCATCCAACTCTCTTATACCCCATTCCTCTGTGTACCTGTGCCCCATGCTCCTAAGATAATACAACTTGCTTAAATCAACTTATGTACTTATGTCACTTGTTAAGGAAAGTACAATTCACAGTAGAGCATTGTGGACTCTGGTTGTTTCTTTTCTCCTTATTTTTCCTGAAATTAAGAGTTGCCTCTCCTCCCATTTGTGTAATTTTCTTTGTACGACCTTCTAATAGACACACCTTCTGATAGACACAAGTCGGCCACCATTAGCTAACCTACCATTGTCTGTCTTTCTCTTGAGTGGAGCCTTTCCACTCCTCCAACCTTGTCCTGGGGCAAGAGCTTTCTACACTGTTGCAGAGCTGTCACCCTGGGACTTCCCTTCACCATCAATCTTGGAGTTCCCTGTTTTTCTCCTGAGTTGGATTTCTTATCTCTTCCTCTTTCTTGGTTTACTCGTTTGTTTTGATGGAGAACATCCTCTTGGAGTCAAGGCAAAAAAAAGGGTCTTTTCTTTGTTCCAGTGTTGTGAGATTTCACAATAATGTTCCTGGCCATAAGCCTATTTTTATCCATTATACTGGGCCCTCAGTAGTCCTTTCAGGAAATCTGGAAGCTCAGATCTTCTGAGAAATTTTCTTAAAGTATTTTATTGATGATTTCCTTCCTTTGGTTTTCTGTTCCCTCTTTCTGAAACAGTTGTTAACCAGATATCCTTCTTTTGAGTTTTTCATTATTACCATTAATGTTTATTAATTTCTAATACTTCTGTTTTTGGCAAACCAAATGTTCCTTTTTAAGATTCCTATTCTTGTTTTAAGGATGTAACATCATCACATATTTAATAATACTTAAAAATTTATTTTAATTCCTGTATATATTTTTTCTTCCAAATTGCTTTTATCTAATTGTTTTGTTCTTTGCTTTTCTTATTCTAGGCCTTCCTTAGATATCTGGTAACCCTTGGATGTCTGCTCAAGGTTAGTGAACCAAAAAGCTAATTGGAAGCTCTGAGTTTATAGACAGGGCTGGTTGACTTTGAGATTCCTATTATGTGATCTAGAAGCACTATTTTAGGAAACCTCTGATTAAGTTTTTTCTGGACATTTTGGGGGCTGGTCATACTCTCCAGAAAAACTTTTCTTACCTCCTCCAAGGTTATAAGTATGCTGCCCGTGTCCTGGTACCCCTTTGAGGAAATAGGGCTGGGGAAGGAGAGCTGGGAGTTACAGCATTTTAGATCACCAAATGCCCCAGTTTCTGGTACTGTTCCCAAACCTACAACCAGGCCAGCTGACCTCCAAGCCAGAGTTTCTTCAAAGAATAAACATTCTGTCTCCCAGGGCTGTGGAAGAGCAGGGTGTAGACCCAGTGGTATAGAGCAGGAAAGGCTCATGTGTGTGTTGTGTGTGTTTAGTTGCTAAATTGTGTTTGACTCTTTTTTTTCTTAAATCATGGACTGTAGCCTGCCAGGTTCTCCTGTGCATGGGATTCTCCAGGCAAGAATACTGGAGTGGGTTGCTACTTCCTTCTCCAGAGGATCTTCCTGACCCAGGGAGCAACCGCAGATTCTTTACCACTGAGCCTCCAGGGAGGGTTTAGAAGGCTCTAGTTGCTTCTCAAATGGCCTCCACTCATCTCTTAGGTCTGACTGCTTTGCTGTAGCCCTCAGTTTCTGAAGTCTCTGGAACTGCTAGTTCTCAAGTCTTTTGAGGATTCTGCACTGTAAATTCCATTGGTTTTCAGGTTTTGTTTTGTTTTTTGTTTCAAATTACTATAGATTTAGGACTCAGCATTCTATGATGTGCTCTCTTGCTTCAGTACTAACTACATAAGAGCTCCGTTGTTTGTCAGGATGATATTCTTTATTCCCCCCCTTCCCTTTTGCCCTTCTTTCTCATCTGCCTCTCTTTCTCTGTTTTCTTTATTTTCCCTTTCTGGATACTAACCCTTTGGGATCGATCCTCTGTTTTTTTTAAAGAAAACTTTTTTTTTTTTTCTCTCGTCAATCTCTTTATCTTTTTTCCTATTCTTTCTGGGAGATTTATTCATCTTTATTATTTAATCCTTCCATGGAGCTTTTCATCTCTGCTATCATATTTTGAATTCCTAAGAGCTCTCTTTTTAAAAAATAGTATCTTGGTAAATGAATATGGTATCTTTTATCTCGCTAAGGAAGTTGATATTAGCTTAAAACCTTTTTTTTCCTACTCCTTGTGATTTTATTTCCCCTGAATTTCTTCTTCTTGTTAGTTTATTTTAATCTGTTTCTTTCAGAGGTTTGGCTTTTCTCAAATGTCTTTGTCACTTATTTTTAGGGGAGGCACTGCAACACTGGCTGGAAGTTTTGGGTAGGTAGGGCTTATCAGCTGGCAGGGTTTTCTGAAGAGAGATCTGGCAGGGCTCTCAGTGTTTCCATTGGAGGACCTTTAAACGTCACTGTATGCAGGGAGTGGAGACAGATTGCTCTTGGGATATTCAGGGAGGAGTTGTCCAATCTGTTGCCTGGAGGATGTAAACTTGCCTTGCAAGTATTCTGATAGCTGAACCATTGAAAAGGGTTGGTCCAAGAGGCACTGTTGGGGAGTGTGTGCGTGTGTACCTGCATGAGTACCTCGTCATCCATTGTAACCTTCTCACTTAATCTCCCTGCCTCTGTTGACATTTCATTCTGCCCACACCTGTGGCTCAAGTCCCATGGAAGGCAGATTCCTTTGGCTGCTTAGGGGTTTTTTCCCTTAATCTTTTTTTTGTAATGCTATTTTAATGGGTTTTGGAAGAATAAACAGAAGAACTGGAATATATGTTCCACTTTTATATTTATTCTCACCTGCTCTGACTGAGTCATGTCTTCTCCCTGAACTTGTTTCTGTAATTGTTTACGAGGAACCCTACTCCCTTGAATCTTGTTTGATCCAAAAGGGCACCCTGGGGTTTTAATTCTGCCATTTACTATAAGAGTGGGGAGTACTTGGCTGTTGGGCTAGGCTCCCTTCTGCAGGGTAGCTACGGGCAAGAGAAAGGAGACTGCTATGAGAAACAAGCGTGCATGCTACATGTGCGCTTAGGCACTGACGATGTGGTAGCACCCAATCTGATGTGTATGTTGAACTCACACAGCACGTGCTCACCTTTAGCATGGGGCTCCCGGCGCTGCTTATGCACCTCTCAGAAGCTGTGGTAGGGCCCTTGTTGTGTGCTTCACTCTGCAGTTCCTCCCAGAGATTGCCAGTTGCTCCCTCATCATGGAGCAGCATTTATTAAGAAAGCTTGGGTGGTGCAACTTTTCCTTTTTAAATTTGTGCATGCAGCTGATGCTCTAACAAAAGGTCACAACCTATTAATAATTAATATAGAGCAGACAATAGTAAATCTGACAGTTCAAACTGGGCAAAGCCATTGCTTTTGGATTGGAAATAGAATTCTATTAAAAAAGCTTAAAAACAGACAATCAAAAAACGCAAAGAACAGATGGCTTCCAGGCTCTATTTGGACATTTTGAAACTTAATGACTAACTACATTGAAAATTCTTTCCTACCTAGTCACCAAGCAAGAGATACCCATAAAACAGTTCTGTATTAGCTTACCTTTGAGGTACACCATAATTTTGAAAGTAATGAAACTACTTTAAAAGACTGTCCTATAAATCACATTAAAGCATAAAGAAGGTTTTCACTAATTCAGACTGGCCATCATCTTGTTAGTTCGAAATGATCCATATTATTAAGGAGATGCTAAGGTTTTCTTTTGAATAACATGTGGACGCTTTAATGGAGCATGAGGAATTCATTTCCTGTTACCGTCAAGGGCCCACGTTTGACGTCAGGGTCAAGCTGGGGTATTTTGAGGTGGGGCAGGACTAGCATTCTGGTCAAAGTTGGCATTGAGTCCTCCGCTGTCTTCCACATCTCCTTTGTGTGTCCACCACTCTCCATTGACAGGGTGGGAGGAAATGAGACACTACTTGTCATGACCTTAGGTGTATTTAGAAACATCTTCTGAGAGAATGGCTTTCAACTGGAAGTAGAATGCTTGTGACCCAGAAGTTGTGTAGGTGGAATGTGGAATTTTTATAACAGTTCCTAAGAAGCCAGCATATTTTCACCCCATGATTATATGCAAGCATGCTAGATATTATTTTTAACTTTGTAAATGTTCAATGAATTTTTTTTAACTTGTGTCAATGACATTTATAGAATTCATTTTCAGTGTTTTATTTATCTGTGTTGTGGTTTAGCCTTAAGGTAGTGTTGCATTGCAAAATTTAACTACTATGACATAATCATTTGCTAATGTTTTCTAGACATAAGAATAAAATTTACTCCCCAAAATAGTATAGCAATGATTAATATCCTTAAAACATTTACCTCTTAAATAAAGGTAAGAGTAACATCAGAATGCATGTTAATATGTAATTTCTTCTCAGAAGAAGTGAATCTTTAACTTTAACCACAGTGAGACAGAGTTACTTTATGAAAGTATTGGTGGGATGTAAGATACAAAAATATTGAGTTCCACTTCTAAGTGACTGAGCAAAATAGAATCCAGGGCTGGCTCACAACTGCCTGAAGTTCAGCTTTCAGAGCTTCCCTAGCTGTGGATGTCTTTGGTGGCACTGGAGAGGAGCAAGTAAAGCAGCAAGGATCCTATAGCCTGGGAAATGTTGTGCTTATTTATTTTTCTTCTTGTAGCCATTTATCATGGAAAATTTCAGGCGTACACAAAAACAGAGAGACTCATATAACAAACCACCATTGCAAAAATTTATTTTTAACCTAATGTCTTCGACCTCTTTTGGGAAAAAACAAAGTGGTAAATATAGGAAGTCTGCCGAGCCTGGTGGAAACTCAAAACCATGGCAAGGACAGACATATTTCCTTAGCTACCCAGGTCTACTCCTTCTCCAACAAATACCAGCATAATTTAAACGTCATTTTTAACAACAAAAACACTTTCTGAACTTTTGACAGTGACATATTTCTTAGGACTCACATGGATTTGATAGGGTTCAGGGCAGGCTCATGGGAACAGATCTGGGTGTCTGTCTGAGGTCAGGTATAAGTGGAGTCAATAGTAATAGAAGCAGCAGGAGAGACAAGTGCTGAAGAGGCACCCATCGCAAGACCACAGTGGCCTGAAGAAAGCTATCAGATGAGGGACCTGCTTGATTCATGGGCTTTAAAAATGCAGGTGACCTCTGGTACCTGAGAGCAGATTGTGCCTCCAAATCCCCACTCACCTTTTGTTCCAGCCACAGCAGGTGAGTGTTCCAGGGAGAAGAGGCAGAACATTCCTTTTTCAGAGGAATGCCACTGTTCAATTTACCACTTGGAAAGCCCTAAAACCCCCCAGGGCCTTCCAAAATAGATGGGATTAGTCAGTAGTGACATTTACAGGTTTTTTTTCTTCTTCTTCCCTCATTCCCCCTTTTCTCAGGAATGACAAAAGTTTTTCTTCTGTCTACTTAGTAAACTTATCTCCCTAGAGGATTTTTACCTTGTGAAAGAAAAGCGTGGTTAAATTCTATACTAGATTTACTGGATCTTATTACAAAATGAAAATATCTGAATTGCTCCAGCTAGTTTAGGGAGGCGTTTTAACTATGCCGATAATGGAAAGGGCTTAATGGAAGCTATAAATTGGGGGAAGTTGATGAATTAGTAGTGAAAATCTGAAATTTCTCAACCCTCCATTTGGATAATGACTGCTTTCCACACAGTAGAAACCAAGGAAACATTTATATAAATACTGCAAAATTCCTTTCTAACCACAGTGGTAGGCATCCAGGACTCACACCTGCTTTGTAGACTGATGAAATGTAGCCATACATGTCAGGGAACATTAGTTCATTCATTCACGCACTCATCTTCCTTCTCTCCCACTGCAAGGCCTTTGGTCTCATGAGTGCTCCTAGTAGATCTGCCTCCTATTCTTCCTTCAGCTCTCAGCCAAACTTCACTTCCTCTGGAATACCGACTGAGCCCCTCTACCTCCGCCTCCACCTAACAGGTGGGTCAGGTTCTTACTGAACTGCTCTCTGTGGTGTATAACAGATACTCAGTAAATATTTATTAAGTGAATGAATAAGCTAATCCTTCATCCAGGTATTCTTTTGTCTTGCCTTACTAGGCAGGACTTTACTAAACAACAGCTATGGAAGAACCCTGGTCAGGTGAGCAAGTCCTTTCACACCTGAGGACTCAAACAAGTCAGGACCCACCTTCTTCAAAACTGGAGGGAGCTGAGCATGAGATGGTTTTCAGCCTGAGTCTTTGGGTGGAAGTTTATGGAATTAATCAGAATGGGTAGAGAGATAAGAAACAGTCAAAACTAAATTTATACTTGTGCCAAGCTCATGTGACTCTTAGAATTTGAAATATAATTATTCTGGTAAGGAAACTGTGACCTGGAAGACTTAGTTAATGAGTAAGTTACTTACTTACTTGGTGAACTTGTTTCTCTGAGGTTCCTTTGAATTTACTAAAAGTTGTTGTGGATTGAAGTATCGGAACCTACAGCATGTTTTGGTGCCTTGGGTTTGAAGGGAACATGTTATTTCTGGAGAAGTGGAAGGACTCAGAGTAGTAGACCCAGAGGAAACATCTGGAAGAGAAAGGGAAGCTCTCAGAGTCTCAGGGTTCTTCTACCCTGGGAGGGTGGTGACCAAGGGGGTACCAGCAACCCTACCAGGAGAGCATTCTGAGAGAGGGCTGTTTCTTCAGAGTTGATTTTAGCCACTGCAGAGTTTTACCAGAAAGTAGATGTCTTTTGTGGCAGTGTAGAAGCTTCAGGTGGTTCCAGTTCCTGAACACTCCTTCTGTTTAACTTAGCTGTTCTATTTAATAGGCCATCAATTGCATATTTTCTGAATAAGTGTACCTCATCTGCAGAGTTTTTGTGGTTACAAAACCCTTTCACATACACTAGATTCCTTGGTCCCATTACACTCCTGTGAAGAAACTAAGACTGGACACCTTGAGATTTACCTAAGAGGCACATGGCCGGTTAGTGGAGGAACCGTTTCTTGAACCAGGTTCCTGACTCGGGTCCTATACTGTGTACCACATGTGGCTCACAGGAAAGGAAGTGTTCCTCTGGCGGTCTGGAGACATGTAGCAAAGAGTGACAGGGGTTTTGAAAGCACTCAAATTTTACTTAATGTATATGCTGTTTTTCTCAGAGGCATGTTTACCTACTTTTCTTCTTACCACATGCCACAGCAGAGGGTGACAGAGGTGAGCAACAACTTATAAGTATGATGATTGATAGTAGTCGATGGCACAGTAGTTACAATCTGGGAGACACCAAAACTTTCACATGCATTCATTCCTTTCATCTCACAATGAGTCCATGAGACAGGTACTGTAATTATCCCAAATTTACACATGTGGCAACAGGCACAGAGAAGTAAAGAAAATTAAGGTCTCATAGTGAGTTTAGTGTCTGACATTTGTCTTCTTAATCACCAATTTTTTGTTTTAACCTACTGACCTTTTTACCTATGAGATTATTAAACCATTTGAGTACAAAGGAAAGGCCTCAATATTGCATTGTAGAAAATACTCTGAAAGCTCTGGGTTTCAAAAAAGTTACTTTTCTTTCTAAAGTAATTATCTAGAAAATTATACTCCCTGAAAAGATGATGCACAAGCACAGCACAACACTCAAAACTACTAAGAAATGTGCAAAACAGTTGGTCTCCTTTCATCTAGCATCTGCTCTGTTTCCCTCTCTGGAGGCATCTGCTGTTAACAGTTTCTGGTGTTGAAAATGATGTTTGGAGATTCACTTTCTCATTAGTGATTGAAGTAGAGAGAAATGATGTAGCAGGAGCCCCACCTCTGGCCTCAGCTGTGTCCTCTGTCAGGACTGAGGAACCTCGGGGCTGTCTGCAAACTGGCAGGCTGCCAGCCAGAAGTCAGAGGGTGGGCGAAGGGAGGAACTCTGGGAAAGATGAGTGCCTCTGGGGAGAAGGAACTTGGCCCCACATCAAAGCTCTTAGGCTTAATTGGGGGTGAGGGGGATTCTGAGCAAGCAGTGGTGATTTCCTCAGCTCCCATAGCAGATCCTCTCGAAGAGTCTTTTCTGAGTCCTTAGGTTTGGAGGGAACCCAGTGGGTTGAGGTAAAGCTCGCAAGGGCTGCTTCTCTGAATATTCTGGAAAACACTGAACACAGCACAGGGACTTCTCCATCACAACAAATCTCAATAAGGAGGAAAACGTTCTTCCTCAGCTCTGCATAGATCGCCAGAGGGTGCTGGCCCCTCTGAGTTCCCTGGGAGTGGCGACGGAGGGTCACTGAGGCAGTAAGCCTCGAGGCTGCACAGGGGGTGTTAGAGGTAGGCTTTTCAGGTCAGCCTGTCTTAGGGGCTCCAGAACTAGAGAGGGACGAAATGGCAGGCTCAACTCTACCAAATGGTAGCTGCCTGTGATGAATACATATGGGATAAAAATGTTTGCTGATTCTTCTTTGTTAGTTTCCTTTCCTGAATTGGCCCTTTTTCTTCCCCTTTCCTGTCCAGTTCCTGCTTATCATTTAAGATGTGGTCAGGCAACTCCTTCTCTATTACCCCTATCCCAGCCCCAACCCCTGGCCCTGTATATCTGTCATTCCCTGACTTGCATTAAAATGATATGCTAATGGATCAGTTTGAGACCATGAACTTCTATTTAGTGTTGATTTGGGTCAGTTTTGTAGTTTGAGTGCTTGGATTCTGAAAAATATGTTAGGGAAGTGTAGAGTTCATGTAGGATGCTCTGAACTATGCCTGGGGTGCTATTCCTCCTTCCAGAATATCCCTCTCTCAAGGTTTGGGCCAGCGAATGAGCTAATTTTTGCGAGCTTGACAGACAAAAGAATTTGCCTTTAGGTTGAGAATGGGACTAAGATGTGTGTTAAACTGTTAAGTAATTTTGGTTTATGAATGAGCATATTTGGAATAGACCACACTGGAAAATGGGTTACGTTAACACATCACATAACCATTTAATTATCTTAGATAGTCATCAAAGTACTAACTGTATTGCTCAAGTTCGGGTCACTGGAAAAAAAAAAAAAAAAAAAACAACCCAGTTGAGAAATCCCATCCTGTTTCTGTGAGGGAAATGCTCTGTGAGTGTCTGTTGAGGTGGTCTGAAGAAAGACTCCACATTTTTTTTGTTCTCACCTCATGGTTTGTCTTTTTTTTTTTTTTTTCTTTTTCCCTATGTCTTTCTGTATTCCAGGTGTGGTTCTTTAAATGATTTGACTTGGAGGCAAGATTGGGATATAGGATATGGGTCAGTGTGGAGGTTGATAAGTAAATGCCTAATTGTTCCTAAGTGACGAGGGGAAATAGATGGTAACTAGTACATTTCTGGCGTATAGCCCTTTCTGTCTCTTTAGAAGATTGTCAGGGACATAGGAAAAGAAAAAAGTCTGAATTCTGAGTAGGTTCTGCTTTGCATAGTTTCAAGTAAATGAACTAAATCTCTGCTTTAAGACTGCAAGTCTAGAGGGAAGACAAAAAAAGAGAAAAGACTGCAAATCTACATGTGATGGTGCAAGCTGAAGGTTTACACTCTGTAAAAGTGGTAATTTCCCCATTCGGAAGGCAAGGAGACAGGAATGGGAGGGGTGGGTGGGGGAATCAAAGTGTAGGTCAAAAATTTGAATTTTAAGTGCAATCTTCTTAGTCATCACTTTCATTTCTGTCTTCTAGGGAAATCTGACACAGCTAGAAAGCAATGGAAAACACTAAGGGTTGCATCAGATGTTGAAGAGAAACTGATCAAGCTGTGGAGATAAAAAGGATCTCTCTTAAGATGGATTTTTAAAAAGCTGGTCATTTAAAGGTAGTAGTCTTTTGGGGGAGAAGCTCACAGGGGTTCCAGAGACCAATGAGTCTCTTGTTTACAATCTTAGCCTCATTTTAGAATAGGGAATGGAAGTGTTCTTATGCTCTTTCTCTTCCTCACAGCATATATTTGCAAGATGGGCTGCAAATTTTCAGCCCATTTCAGCCTGTTTCCCTGTAGAGAAAGTTCTAGATTCACCCTGTGAAGCAACGTGTACAAGAAGTTTTAACATTGTTAACTGTTTCGCCCCCATTCTGTTGGACAAGTGGTTTTCTTTGATTCTTTCTTAACTCTACATCTAAAATTAGCCTTCAGGGTTCCTGGCACTGTGTATGACCCAGGGGAGGGTTAGGAAGGAAGTGGAAGATGTGGAGTGAGAGGGCATTGGAGAAAAACAGCACAGTAATGATAAGAGTACCTTCTGTGTAACACTTGTCAGTTTAAAGGTCATGTCCCATTAGTTCTTGCCACAAACAGGCTGCATAGCTTTACTCTCTCCATTTTACAGAAGAGGATAGTGAAGCTTGAAGTTAAAGGATTTGCCTAGGATCACATTCCTGTAGATGATGGAGTCTGAACCTAGAAACAGTATTCTGGCTCTAAAGTTGTGTCAGATTTCATTGCAAATTGGCTATTTTAGGCCAATATCTGTACACATGCATGTGGATGAGGCATCTTGAGTGCCTGAAGGGGCATGAGGCTCCTCAGGGGTGGTATCTTGGGGGAGGATGCGTGCACGTGGATTAGTGAAGGTGTCAAGGAGATCCTCCTTGGGGAGGAAGGTGGAAAGCAGCATGAGAGGAGGACAAAGGCAGGAACTAACTGGAACCAACTAGCGTGGGTTGGGGGAAGGAGACCGACCGTCCTAAGCAGAGGAACCTTGGCTGGAAGAAATGAGAGACAAGTCTAGGGACATTGGGGATGTGGCTATCAGGGATAGGGAAGAGGCAATACCTGGAATTTTCTTTCCGTGGCCTCAAGGAGCCCATGGCAAAAGGACTGTGAGCTCTCCTAAGAACATTGTTCTGCACTGGTGGGTAGAAAAGGGGGTTGCCAAATGAATTATATATAGAAGTCTGTGCAAGGGAAGTTCTTATGCAAAATGACTAAACACGCTTCATCGCCCTGCCTGGTTACTTATAAACGTGGCATGTGTGCAGAGTTGATGGGAGTCCAGATGTTGTCTCAGAGACTGCTCAGAGAAAAACTGAGAATGAACTTGCAGAAGCTGATGACAGTCTGTCCATCCATCATAGTAGAGAAAGTTTTAGCCACATTCCCATTAAGCATTTCCTCTATTGAGCACTGTCTCGCCTTAAAACTTGGGGAAGACCGGTGTCAGAGTCATCTTCAAAGGAGGGACTAAGAGCTTGGAGACAGGGAGAGAAGAGATTGAAGCAGACTCGGATGATCTCTGCAGTTATTTAACTTTCTAGCCACACATCCCTTTGTAAACCTCTGAATCATAGGCCCGATATCACCATGTATGTGGGGCATTCTAGTTACCTTGAAATCTGGGACTCATAGATTGTGGGTGGCAGCCGGTCATGCCAGGGAGACTCCTCTGTACAGTGTCACAAGCACAAGAGAGAGCTTTGATTTCTTGAGCGACAATCTCGGGAACCCACAACAGTAGAGTGGGGAGGATTATGGAGCCTGGAGAGGGGAGCTGGGTTACGGAAGTGCCCTCACACCTTCCTCTGCAGCTTCCCTAGGTCCCAGGAATACATGACAACAAGAGACATTCTAAGAGTTAGTGCTTGACTGGCTGCACCCGGAGTCTCTCAGGGGGCTACTTGGCTGATTCTAAGACAAGGGTTAGCCTTCCCTTATCCAGTATGGCTAAGAACGTAGAACAAGGGAGGATGCCAGTTTACAAAAATTATTAGAACTTGAGTTTCCTCTGTAAAATAGGGATAATGGTAAAAACAAATGTAATCCCAGTCATGGTGAGGAGCAAATGAGACCCCACATGTGTTGCAGTTCTGGTTTCTTGGGTCACAGATTATGAGATAGAGGTTTGCGTGCAGGAAGGTTTTGGAGGAGTTCTCTTGGGATCAATACCTTTGGGAAAGTGAAGATAGCATTATTGGGTAAGGGAGAAGGTGGACTGTGATGCAGCTGAAGGAAGGCCTCAGTAATCCATGATTGGCTGTGCAGCTTCAATAGCCCTTCAGAGTCACCCTGAATTGAGACAAAGTTGTGGGTCTTATGTCCACACATGGAGCAGTCACTGGATGTGCTGCCCCTAGGAAGGGTTTGTGATCTTAGGCAAAGGAACTCTTTGGCAGAAGGTCAGGGCTAGAGAGGGATGTGGTGGCTAGCTGGCAGCTGTCACCACTGTTAACAGGGGAGGGGAATGAGTGCTGAAGCCCCAAAGGAGGTGGTAAACCTGGGTGATGCACCACAGATCCACTGCAGCTCATTCTTGGTGCCTCTGCTTTGCTTATTTCATAAATAAGTTCTGCAAACAGCTCCTCTGGGGCTGGGGAGCTTTTTTTCTTGGGAAAACTTGTAAAAGAAACGAACTAGAGCCTTCACCACAGCAGCTGCTCTGGAGGCTGCAACTGATACTCATCATCTTCTTTCTCTACTCCTTGCTCTGGTTTCTCCTTCTGCTTATCCAGTCCAAGCACTTACTGGGTGGGTGTGAAGTGGACTGCGGCTGCTGTACTTACCCATTTGCCATTAAGAGGCAGCAAGTGGATTACATGGGTGCCAAACACAACCTTCCTTTCCCCTCAGTTGTAAAAGCAGCCCTGCGTGGGTGTGTGCTCAATTGTGTCTGACTCTTGGCAATCCCATGGACTGTAGCCCGCCGGGATCCTCTGTCTATGGAATTTTCCAGGCAAGAATACTGGAATGTGTTGCCATTTCCTACTCCAGGGGATCTTCCTGACCCAGGGATCAAACCCACGTCTCTTGCATCTCCTGCATTGGTGGGTGAATTCTTTACCACTGAGCCACCTGGGAAGTCCAAAAGCAGCCCTGTCACTCCCTAATTCTCAGGGTCAATTATTCATGCCAGAATGGTGACTCCTTTCCGTGTCTGCTATTCTCTAGCAGAGAATGTTTCATGAGAAACATGAGGTAACTGGGTGGCAGCCACACCTCATCCTTTAATGAAAAACTGTGTTACCAACCGTGCCCAGAGTCATTGAATTTTTGTAGCATTTTTCTCCTATAGGAAGGGCACGTGTATTACTAAGGCCTCCAACATATTTGCCACTTCTTGCTCCTCAGGTCCAAGTAACATACTGTCACCAACAGAGTGGACCAATATGATATTCTGCAGGATGTCCGGGGGGCCAGGTTTCTTTGGACTATATTTGACAGAGGGCAGGGGAGTTAACACACCCTGGAGCAAGGCTGTCAATGTATACTGTCTGTCCCAAGTGAAGGAGAAACATTTCTGATCTCCCTTTCTGATAGAAGTTGGAAAGAATGCATTTTTCTAATCCGTGACTGCAGACTATGAACCTGAGGCAATGTTAATCTGATGTCAGAGAGATAATCACATCTGGCGTGGCATAGCTGCAGTTGGGGCTAGTGCTGAATTGTCTCCCCGTCCACAGTCATTCTGCACGGCCCACCTGGCTTTTGTAGAGGCCAGACTGGTGAGGTAAATGACAGCATGATAGAGATCACCCCGCCCCCTGCATCTTTGAGATCTGCCATCCCCTAGGGATTGGATACTGTTTTTAACTTACTATCTTGGCTGGAATGGGGAAGGGCAGTGTCAGAGGCTTCCACTTGGCTTTCCCACTGCAATGTGTGGGGTCTCTGCCAACAACCAAGTTGTCCATATTCTAGGTTTATATTCAAGCACAGGGAGAAGGACTATTAGATGGGCCAGAGGAAGCAGCACGCTCACTGTGAGCTGAACCTGAGGCAGGACCCTATTTACTGCTTGGTCCCCATTAGCCCCCTCTCCAGTGGGGTTTGGGCATGTTGCTTTGGATCTCTGGGTTTCAGTGTCAACCTAATTCCTATGTCTAACAGTCATCAAAATGTTTGGGATTTCTCCTTTTCCAAGTATACAGTTACCTGGGTGAATGACCAAAGATCCTTTAAGGGAAGAATTGAAGTAATCATTACTCTATATACTTATCACAGTGTTAAAGATCTTCCCTTTTAGGAACCTTGTCTCTCTTTCAGTCAATTTTCCAGATCAAAACACTGACTCAGATCCAGAAATTGAACCAGGAATCATGAATTTTCGTTGGGTTCCCCCTAGTCTCTTGATCACCCATCCTTGATTCCCTTTGTGTACTGAATGTTACCCTTGTGTCTTGTCCTAGGAATCCCGTGTTTGATTACTGTCTCCATGGATTATGGAAATTGTGACCTACTTGCTTCTGGTGGTTAAGAGTAGCTTGCTGGCTTCTTCAGACTCCTACACTCCCCATTGCGCTCGGTGAACCCAGTTCTGTAATAACATTTCCTGCCATCAGACTGGCCCCTACAGAGAGTGACCACAATTCATTCTCAGTGATGCAGGTGCTCCTCTCACCAGGGCATCCCTCATCACTCTGATAAACAGTGTCTTCTGTGCCTTCCCATGGAACAAAAGCCTCGGCTGCACTTTCTCATGCATTTTCTTATGTAGTGTACCTACTTTAGCATGCTTACTCCTCTGAACCCTTTGCTCTCCTTTCCCACTGTTTGCCATGGCCGTTCTGGCATTTCTATTTTGCTACTTTCTCTACATTTCTAAGGTTCATCCCAGATGTGTCTTAGCACTGTCTCCTGCGGTGCTGAACCCTCTCTCACAAACCTAGTATCCCAGTTTCTGCCAACATATGCTAGCTGGGTCCTGCAGTTTATTTGAGGGGCACAAACATTTTCTTTCATTAGAAGATCCAGTGCTCCCTCAGTTAGGTTATGTTGTACCTTAATCCTAGTTATTGATGTGATAGTCAAGATGGGAGAATGGGAGCCGATCCCCAGAGTATGTTAGTTATGTATTGCTGTGTGACAAATTACTCCCA